CTCACAGCACAAGCAAAATGACGAATTTCATAAAACCTTGAGTTTGGGTATTACCAATTTATCCCAACTCCACTCTGGCTGATTTATTTCACATTAGTAAATTCCCTGTGGATGATAAATATCACATGCTCACCCAACTAGAGATAGTGAAAATAAATAAAAATGTGATTAATATTTCAGTTTCTTTCATTTAAAAGAGACCACATAATGGAAAATATAAACAACCCAACAATATTGTGGTCATGCACAACAGGGCACTTATGCATACTCCATGCTTTATAACAATTTTCATTTGGAGACCTTAACCCGCTCATCCATTGCCAAGCTGACTGCTATCGAGAACTGTGTTTGATGGCAGAACAACAAGAGGCCTCTTTCTGTGGTCTGATAATAGATTTATTTTTCCAAAATGTTTATTTAGACACCACCCCAAAAACCTTCATTTGCTTAGATCTTAAAGTCAAAAAGTGAAAGCCTTAAGAGTGGGCATCCCCGGTGGCGCAGCGGTTGAGCGCTGGGTTGCAAAGCTGCCCGCAGCCTCTGACAGCGCCGGTTCAATCCCCGGCCGCTCCCTGGCCACAGGAGGAGGGTCCCACATGGCGCGCAGACCTCTCCTGCCGCCCGCTGCTCCCCTCAGCAGTGTACTTCTCCTACCGCCCACTGCTCCCCTCAGCAGTGTACTAGGGTCCTTCTGCCTTCTCTGCTCCCCGCTCTGGCTCTGGTGAATTCTCTCATCCTCCCGTGCTTCTGACTGTACACAGTGCTTGTATAAATAAATAAATAAATAAATCTTTTTTTTTTTTTTAATTTAAAAAAAAAGAGTAATAAAGGTACCCTGACTTATGACAAGCTATGATGTCATAACTACACAATTATAAATCTATGGCCCCAAGAGACCCGCATTTGCCCTCCTGAAATACTGTTAGGAAAAAAGAAACAAATATTTGTCACATATCAAGAAACAGAGTAGTGATCATGACCTGAACTAAACAAAGCCAAAAGAATGCATGGATTAAGACATATATTAATTATACTTCCTCCAAACGGAACAAGGAAAATGAAACAGGGAAGCGTGGGGGATAAAGGCATCACAATAGAAGAAAATAAAAAGGGTGGAAAAAATCCAAAGAAAGCAACACAGTCATTCTTCTCCTCCACTCAGGAAATTAGAGCTACATGTGCCAAGAATCCACAGAGGGAACAGAATCAATACACAGGAGCTACCGAGCTGGCCACCTGGCTTTCACAAAGACCTGTAAGACACACACTCTGCCTCCAAAAGCGACATTCCGATGGGAGACAGAGGATCTAGTAGGCAAAAGAAAAAAAAAAAATCATAAAGTGTAAAACACAGGAAAAGGGCCCAACAGCACAAACACAGAGCAGCAATTCTACATAAGAAAATAAGCAAGCCCTGGTTGCCTGCAGCCTGAACTAGTTCATTCTCCAAAGCAAGTGAGGGTGCCATCTGCCATGCATCCCTGATCCCTCAGGTAATATCTCCTTTATCTGGATTCCTACATCACTCTATCTGCATCCTCCTAAGGTCCTAATATCTGGTTTGCATACATTCCCTTTTGCTTTTTATACACACACACCAACACATATTTAAATGTGTTAGTGACATGTTGGTGACATTTCTGTTGACATGTATATTAGACACATAGGCATATCCTGTGCATGTGTATCATTATGCATTCTAAAACAGGAGCTCAGGATCATCCTCTATCTTTGCATTTCCACAACATCTACCATGGTATGTAGCACAGAGCAAACAAAAACAAATAAAATACTAATGGAAAGCAGGCCATCTAGAGACAGACTAGACTTTCCACCTCATAATATTTTGATTACAGACAATTCTCAAACAGAACACATACACTTTATGTGACAATAGATTAAATTTTTTAATGTGCTGAGAAAGTGAGGCGTCAATACTATGCTTTATTTTTTTTTTTTTTGAATTTTTAAAATATTTTTTATTTAAAACACCAGTATCTGGTCTGTATTTTACTTTTTTTTTTTTTTTTATAAATTTTATTGTTATATTCCCCATACAATTGCAGCCCCCCATTCTGACCCCAATCCCTCCCCTCCCGCCCCCGCCCCCCTAAAAGTGTCTCTGGTTCATAGTTTTTGTTGATTTTGATTTTCACTTTCTTATAGTTATTCATTTTCCTGGTCCCTTATTTAAGTTTTCTAGATTCCTGCTATGAGTGAGACCATCCGGTATTTTTCTTTTTCTTTTTGGCTTATTTCGCTGAGCATGATCCCTTCCAGCGCCATCCATGTTGCTGCAAATTGCATGTGTTTATCTTTTTTGAATGCTGAGTAATATTCCATGGTATATATGTACCACATCTTCTTGATCCAGTCATCTATTTTTGGGCATTTGGGTTGTTTCCAAAGCTTAGCTATTGTAAACAGTGCTGCTATAAACATAGGGGTGCAGGTGTTCTTTGGAATTGATGTTTCTGTGTCCTTTGGGTAAATACCTAGGAGTGGAATTGCCTGATCATATGGAAGCTCTATGTTTAGTAGGTCCAGAAATCTCCACACAGCTCTCCACAGTGGTTGGACCAGTTTGCACTCCCACCAACAGTGCAGAAGAGTTCCTTTTTCTCCACACCCTCGCCAGCATTTGTTGTTGCTAGTTTTTAATATGTGCCATTCTCACTGGTGTAAGATGGTATCTCATGGTAGTTTGATTTGCATTTCCCTGATGGCAAGTGATGTTGAACATTTTTCATATGCCTGTTGGCCATTTGCATTTCCTCTTCAGAGAAGTTTCTTTTTAGCTCTTGTGCCCATTTTTTGACTGGATTATTTTCTTTGTTGTTGCTGAGTCTCATCAGCTCTTTGCAGAATACTATGCTTTAAAACGATGGGCCTCCCTGGTGGCGCAAGGGGTTAAGACACAACCTATGGAGCTGTCTGCAGCCATTGCAGCATGAGTTTGATCCCCAGCCAGGGAGCTACCCACGTGGTGTGGCAGACCTCTCCTGTCTTGCCCACTGCTCCCCTCAGCAGTGTATTTCAGTAGATCTGCCTGCTCCCCACTCTGTCTCTGGTGAATCCTCTCACCCCCCACACCTCTAGCCTGCACCCCAGTTCTTGTATGCATAGATAAATAAATCTTTAAAAAATAAATAAATAAAACAAAATCAAGTTGAACTCAACCGAAGGCATTCTTTCAATGCAAAGATGTATAATACAAAGGCAGGCAATAATGTAAAAGGCATTAAAAGAACATAGAAAATATGGTGCCAAAGAAGATTTAAACATAAAGAGGTCAGATAACAAAAACCAAGCCAGCGACGAGAGCACGCGGGAGCAATGTGCACATCCGGCAGGCACAGCACCGCAAACGCACAACCGGGAGCTGGTATATGAAAGCAAAACATACCCCATTCCTCTCTAGGAGCAAAATTTAAATTCAAGATGATGTGAAGCTACGCAAGCAAAGTATAAGATCTGAAGTATAAAAAAGGCTGCTAAAAGGCCATGGCTGCTATGGAACAGGATCCAACACTTGCAAACATTTTCAATCGAAAGACTTAAGTATGTGTAGGGTCAGATAGTTTAAGGACCTGCCAACAGACACAGAGTAAAATCTCTAAGTTCAGAACCTGAGCTCACTTTGTCTGACTTACAACGTCATAGCCTTCCCTGTTGGAGAATCAAAGAGCTAGTTTGGTTAACTTGCAAGATATATATCAATTTCATCCTCCAACAACAAAATTAAAGGGGAGAAATAGTTGTAAGAAGAATATGCCAAATAGTTTCCTGGAACCCTCCATGTAGAAGGCAAATACAGAGAGAAGCGACACCTGTGAGCTGGGTAAAGCCGTAGGAAGCAACGGTGCAGTCAACGCAGGCCTCGTTTGCAAAGAAGGAAAAGAAGTGATATAGACAGGGTCCTTCTCTGCAGGGGCACTTTATATGCAGTATTTTATCATCCTTTCAACAATGAGAGGAGTCAGGTACTGCATTCATTTTACAAATGAGAAAAATACAATTCTGACTGTTAGAAGAAGAAAATCCCCCAGGAGTATTCCAGTGTGCGACTTGGCTCGGAGAAGCTCAGTCATACAGACAGATGAGCAGGAATGTTCCAAGATGACTACAACAATATTACAGATAAGAAGGTAACACTGCACAAGAGAAGGAAATGATGAATGCAAATAAATAATCAAAATGGACAATTTCTTCTGTCAGAATTGTGCCAAGACTCTGACACCCCTGCCCCCAACTCCACCAAATACGAGAACCAGAGGCTCCTTACCTATGACCAGGATGGTAAAGAGCGGTGTTGATTCCATGAGGGTAGTGACTACTGAAACTGAAACAGTGGCTCTCTTGATAGCTCTGATTTGTTCCAACACTAAATTCAAGAAGGTAAGTAATAAATACCATTAGACGATAGTGATATACCACCAAACACCCACTGAAATGTCTACAATTAACAGCAAATACATGTGGAGGGAAAACCCCAAAATTATGTTATTATGCACAAGACTGACAAATTAATAAAATTAAAGAAAAACTAAAATTAAAAAATAGAACTTCCCCAGTATACTTTTACCTTACAAGGTAACTTCTAAGTTCTCCTCGGTAATTGATGACCAACAGTTCTGCAGACCACTGTGCACTTGCTTTATACTCCAAAAATATTAATCCAGCAATGGCATAGCTCAAATCACCTGCTAAACCAGATGCCTACAAGAAAAAAGAAATTACGTTACTACAAAGATACCAGAGAGAAATGAACAAATGTATAATTGGAGGCTATCTGGGGTACTGATCTCACCAGGAGCACTAGAAATAAGAAGGCTCCAGAATTAATTTGCACATTGAAGATTCATACAAGTCTAGACTGGCCCTCCCAACCACAGGCTGAAACCACAGATGTGGTTTCTTTGGATGAGATGTTCACCTAGATAAATGAATTTCTATTCAGAGAGTCCACACATCGCAAAAAAGAAAATAATGCCAACATTCAGCTTCAAAAAATTCTAAGACACAGAATTCAGACATAAGCTCTCAAATGTTGACTTCCAATATCAGCAGTAACATGCTAAAAAAAAGTCTCCAACTACTTTCCATTTGCCTCCTCACCAATTTAAAGAAATGGACACTAAAAATACTCAATGCCAACCTTTTTCCATCAACTAATTATTAGGCTAAGTTGCTAAAGATCTGAAGGCTCTGGAAGTACATAAAATAAAGCTTATCACCCTACATGACTCCTCACTGTCTAGAGTCTCAAAATAAAATACTGTAGCCACACATGGCTACTAAACACTTGATATATGGCTACTGATCACCTGATATTGACTAGTGGGCTAGATCGAATTGAGATATGCTACAAATAAAAAAATATACACCAAATTTCAAAAAACTTAGTAGTGGGCCTCCCGGTGGCGCAGCGGTTGAGCGCTGGGTTGCGAAACTGCCCGCGGCTCTGCAGCGCCGGTTCGATCCCCGGCTGCTCTCGGCCACCGGAGGAGGGTCCCACATGGCGCGCAGACCTCTCCTGCCGCCCGCTGCTCCCTCAGCAGTGTACATCGGTCCTTCTGCCTGTTCTGCTCTCCACTCTGGCTCTGGTGAATTCTCTCGCCCTCCCGCGCTTCTGACTGTACCCAGTGCTTGTATAAACAAAACAAACAAACAAACAAATAAATAAATCTTAAAAAAAAAAAAAAAAAAACTTAGTAGTAAAGAAAGAATTTAGGATATCTCATTAATTTCAAATTACATGTTGAAGTGACATTTTGTATCTTTTGGATTACTCAATAAAATAATTTAATATAAAATACAACATATTACATAAATTTCACTGTTTAACTCTCCTTCATGCAGTTACTAGAAAATTTAACACTATACATGTGATCACATTTCATTCCTATTAGATGGTGCTAACCTAGAAATCAGTGAGCCACGCTTTTTAGTTTGACTCCCCCAGGACTTCTGTAATATGAACTGAATGAACATTTCCAAGTTTTTCTGAGCAAAAATCATCGGAATCATTGGTTCTCATCCCTAGCTTTTCACTAGGATCAACTGAAAGACACAAACACCATTAATGTCCATGGCCCACGTGGCTCAGTTAAGTCAGATCTCCTGTGGGTGGAGCCTGGGCAATCCAGTAATTAATTTTCCTTTTCTTTTTCTTTACGAAACTTCCAAGGTAATCCTAAAATGCAGCCAGATTTAGAACCACTGTTCTACCTGCCCCTGTATCTTGCTCACTTGAGGAAGGAGCATACAAAGCAAAAAGCACTGGATTCCTAAAAGAGACATTTATTAACTTGACTGCTGCGGAGTGAGGGGGGCTCATTTTACTCTCAATTTAGCTTCCTAAACTATAAAATGAGCACAGTATCTGCCCAATCTACTCAAAACCTTGTTGTAATTATTAAATAAGATTATATATCAAAGCCATTAATAAAGTATACAGCACTATTCAAACACAAGTTATTACTACCATTAATTTTTTTCTCCACTCTCCCTTTCAATTCCTGTTCTTTTAGGGTAACAAATTATAACTCTCAAAGTCATTCCTGGAAATTAATAATAGCTTTCTGTACCTCTGTTTAGTATGTGCTTCCTACCACATTTTCATAATGGTAGACTATATCCAGGTAGAGCATCACAAAATACAAAGAATAAATAACTAAATAAATATTCCGAGCATCTTTAAGTTCAAAACTTATTCTCATTTTCATTTCCCCTCTTCACATTCATTCATTTAGGTACTCAGACCCAAAGGCATTCCCAAAAACAACATGTTCCTTTAAAGGATATACATACCGGGCTAATAACAAAGAGCTCACTTCCCATGAGATCAAACACCCTCACAGTGCCCATGCTTTCAGCATAGGCTAGCAAGGTGCAATCATAACTCCACGCTACACGTCTCCACTGGGGTTTCGGGTCTTTGGGAACTAGAATGAAAAGAAATGCTTTTAATAATATACTATAAAGATGGCCAGCACGTATGGTATTCAGCTACATCAGCACCTCCTAATGATCTCCAATGCTTCAGTTCAATAGAATAGTTCCCTTGCCAGAAGGAGTGGCGGAGGGAGGTGGGTTAGTAAAGGTGAAGAGGGCCAAAGTATAAACTTTAAGTTGTAAAATAAATAACTCAAAGGGATATAACATGCATCCCACATGGTGAATACAGTTACTAATACTGCACTGCATATTTGAAAGTTGCTAAGAGAACAGGTTTTTGTTTCCATAGAAAAGAACTGTAATAGGATTAAAGAAGGGATATAGTTTCCCAAGAAAACACCCGAAGTTACCCATCCCCTCATGCTCAGCCAAATAGGGTCGGCCAAAAGACGCGCCACGGAGGCCCAGAAGACTGCCCAAGTTTAAGGCACCTTCTGGGCAGGAACCATAGGAAAGAGAATAGATCTTGAAAGTCCCTATATCGCAAGAAAAAACTGTTTTGCAACATGTCTGGTGGCAGATGGCAACTAGACTCATGGTGCTGATCAGTTCCCAATCAAGACAAATATCGGGTCAGAATGTTGTACACCTGAAATGTTACAGTCAATGGTAACTCAATAAAGATTAAAAATAAATATTGTAATAAATCTTTTTTTACTTGATTGTTAAGGGGTTTTTTTTGGGGGGTAGGGGTATCCCCCTAAATGCTGCCCCAGAGGCAAGGGCCTCACTTGCCTCCCCTGACCTTGGCCTTGCAAAAGTCAAAATACTGCATCTGCAATTGAAATGTGGCATCTGTTTTAAGAAGCACTTTGCAGTGACAATTCAAAATAAAAACTTTAAATGGGTTAGTTTCTTAAAGTATTTCTTTAAGAAGAAGCAATTAGATTTGATTTATCAGTTAAACTCAAGATAATATATACCTTATTAGAACTAATGAAAAAAAAAGGTGGTAGGAATAATAATGAAATGGTGCTTTTCTGCACATTAAGGCCGAATGACGCCACTTCACCTGAGTGGAATCAGGGGGCGACCCAGGCAGGCAGTGCCCTGTTGACATGGCAAGGGACAGGCCACTCAACCCCACATGGTCATCTGAGCTTTAGAGAGTTCATTTAGTAACCCAAATAAAGAATGGTCATTTCAAAAGAAAAGAAAAATAAAACAGTTCTCAGAAACCCTCAGAAATCAGGAAAACTGGGAGACCACAGAAGCTCTGCGCACTTCCCTTAGACACAAAGCCTGCGGATGCCCTGAGCCCTGAGCATGCACTGGACTGGCAAAGGCTTGGGAACGAGCTACTCAAAATACTCATGAAATTAAGAGAGCTCAAAAGCATAGAGAATGGGCAGAAAATTAACTCCAATTCAACGAGTTTAGCTTTTCTAAATGAAAAAAATGAAAATTCCAATTCAGATATTTTAAATACAAAACACAGATGCCAAAGAAATACAAAGCTGTATAACTGTGACACAGCATTAGCAAGAAATGTATATTAGTAAGAAACACACACACACACACACACACACACGTAAAGCAGTTCTGAGATTTTAAAACTCAAAACCTTAAACAGCTGACAAGACCTGTGATTTTTTGGTCCCAAATTTTTCAGTTCAATAGGAAAAAAGCCATCATCTCCCCCTCCCACGCCTCTGGCCTGTACCCAGTTCTTGTATAAATAAATAAATCTAGAAAAGAAAAAAGGGAAGGGAGGGAGAGGAGGGGAGGGAGGGGAGGGAGGGGAGGGGAGGAGAGGGAGGGGAGGGGAGGGGAGGGAAGCTACCAGCAGCAAAGGAAAAGAGACTGTGAAACTCTAAAGAGTTAGTTTGAGATCTTTGGTGTTTTGTTCACTTCAGTTTCTTCTTATTTAAAATCACCAAATTCAAGAGATTGGTGGGGCTGGTGTCTTCCCTCTACCAGCAAGAGTCTCCAACTACTAAGGGGCTCGGGGCGAGAGGGAAGCCCAGAACGGAGCATCCGGCCTTCCCAAGCTGCCTCAGCCAGAGCCTGGATTCAACCTTGGGACTGTCTCAGAAATACTTCAGAGCTTTACCCCTTCTCTCTACTCCCCCACTGGAATCCCAGCTCATCCCCCAGCACACACTCTCCACAGCCTCCCAACTGGCCTTTCCTCCACCTACAGGCGCCTCGACTCCCTCCCGTCCTTCCTCCCATACGAGCAAAGGCACCTTTCAAAAATAAAAAGATCGCATCATGCTGTTGCTTTTAGATCCCTGATGCTTTTCCATGTCCACAGAGTCAAGTCCAGATTCCTCCATCTACATGAAAGGGTCTTTCCCAAAGGGCCCTTGTGCAGCTTTCCAGCTTCACCGCCCACCCCTTCCCGTGTCTCACATGCAATAACCAAGAACACAGCCGCCCGGCAAGTGAGCTAACAACACTGCCAGAGTCCCCGTGTCCTTCACATAAATGGCCGCCGCCACTGACATGTCCACGCCAACGTCATTCAAAGGGCTCTTGTTCATTACAACCCCCTGTGGCAATGTTCAGCTCCTCCTTCCTTGACACCACAAAACTAACTGCTCTCTTCTCTATGCCTCAAATATGGGGAACAAAAACCTTTCCTAGCATTTATCACATCATATTATTTTATTTGCTTGATGATTTCCCCCACAAGTCTGATCTCCTCAAAATCAGAGGCAACGGTTTATTCCTCATTACCATGTTCCGTGGACTCAGAACAGAAAGTGAGTAATGTTTCATTCACGAGTCTAGTCTAAGTCTTCAAAAAAATTTCTTTTAACAGGGCAAGGTAGAGATCACCATCCTTCAAGGAGTGCCAAACAATTAAATGTGAATCGTACAACTGAAGTCCTTTCTCCACCAAAAGAAGCACTGTGTGGAATTCAGACTACCTTTGATCTCTAAATGCATGTTCTATATACGGGAAAAGTCAATGACTTTTTTAATTTTGACTATCAATAGGTTAAAAACAGGTCCCAAAAAATTCTAGAGAGAAACTCCCAAGATAGGCGGACCTAATAGATTTTACTAAAGTCTAACAAGATACCACATACAGGGCCTCCCCAGTGGTGCAGCAGTTGAATGCTGGGTTGCGAAGCTCCCCGCAGCCTCTGCAGCACCGGTTCAATACCCAGCTGCTCCCTGGCCACCGGGCGAGGGTCCCACATGGCACGCAGACCTCTCCTGCCGCCCGCTGCTCCCCTCAGCAGTGTGCTTCGGTCCTTCTGCCTGCTCTGCTCCCCGCTCTGGCTCTGGTGAATTCTCTCACCCTCCCGCGCTTCTGACTGTACCCAGTGCTTGTATGAATAAATAAATCTTAAAAAAAAAAAAAAAGATACCACATACATCCCAGAAAAGCAATTTTTTAACGGGAGTAAAATTGAAAGGATGAATATTCTGTGTTCAAACAGCCAAAAGAAAAAAATTTCAAACTTGGATGTAAACATAGGCACAAAATGATAAACACAACCCACGCATACAGATGCTACATAAACACAAGCAAGAGGACAATTTAATGCCCTGGAAAATTCATATGCTAAAGAAAGAGCAACATTTTTTCATTACTGCTATTTTACCTGTGATAAGAGATTTTCCTCTTATTTCATTTTGATAGGATAAACAGAATTATGCACTACATTCAGTATCTGTCTGAAATAAGCTCCATCTGAGGGGATTTGTTTTTACTATCACTTCTAGTTATAACCAGAAGCTCCAGAAAACTCAGCATGTGTTTTGACCCAGATAAAGATATGTTTTCATTACAAGATAAGATTTCATATAACAACGTGAAAATAAAGACATTATCACTAGGCTTTTCCTGTTGCCTCTGCAGTTTTAGAGAGGAATAACAGTACAGATTTTCACAAAGCAAGTGTCAATGGAGTCGTCTGAAAACTATTCAAAGAGCCTGAGGTACAGTGGACAGGTGATCTGACAAGGGCCTGGGCTCGTGGTGAAACTGCTCGCCTGCCCTCAGCCCTGCACCGGCACAGCCTCTGGAACAAGCCCAGCCGCCAGCTCTTCCCTCAGAGCTTTCGTCAGTGCCATGTTCTCTGCCTGGAACGCTCAACCCTAGACCCTGAGTTGGCTCCTCTTCATCTTGCAGGTCTCCCCTTTAAATACACTTCCTGAGGAGCATCCGACACCATCTAAGAAGCCTCCAAGCCCCACTGTTCTCCTGCATCCCAATGATCTCACCTCCTCCACAGTTCCAGTCCTGAACAGTTTCTACTTTCCGTTGTCTGTCTTAGTCATTAGGCCATAAGCTCCAAGATGTCAGGAGTGGTACCTTCTTATTCCTACTTTCACAGCCAGGGCCTGGGGGGCAAGTGCAAAGGGGGCGTACTTGTCTCAGCATTGCCACACAGGGCTGGGATGTCCTCGGGAAGATAACTAAGGCCAGTTTTTCCTCCTTTGCAACATGAAACATTGCCTACATTCTCTGACTTTGAATTACGAATCATTGAACAAGAGCAAACAAGTGGAGCTAGAAAGACAGCAGAAAAGCTGATCGACTAAACATTTAAATAACAGTGTCACAGGCCTCCTGGTGGCACAAGGGGTTAAGATGCAACCTATGAAGCTGTCCATAGCCTCTGCAGCATGAGTTTGATCCCTGGCCAGCCAGGGAGCAACCCACATGGCACAGCAGACCTCTCCTGTCGTGCCCACTGCTCCCCTCAGCAGTGTATTTCAGTCAGTCGGCCTGTTCTGCTCCCCACTCTGTCTCTGGTGAATCCTCTCATCCCCCACATCTCTGGCCTGTACCCCAGCTCTTGTATGCATAAATAAAAATAAATCTTTAAGATATTCATTAGCGATCCCTGCAAACAGGACTTATCTAACCTTTAAGTAAAAGCTATTTTATACCATCTCTTACACAGAAAAATAAGACTTAGAAAGGCTGATCCAGAGAGAAATTCACTCCCCCACCCTCCCAGCCCCCACCCAGAACGAAGCTCAGTGCCATTAAGGAAGACAAGTAGTAGACACTCAATAACAT